TTTTTTATGATTATTGGCAAGTAGTGTTAGACGTGTGTTCATTTATTGTAGCGGTGATAAAGACATGCTGTATACTCTTATTAAGAAAATTTATACATATAATAAAAACGTAAGTGATCGTTGTTTGCACATGGAAGATATCTGAGAAAAACTATTATTGGGGGCCTTTATCAGCGCAAAATAACCCAAAAAGGAAAGGTTATTATATATATATATATATATATATATATATATATATATATATATATATATATATATATAAACAATATATAAAAAAAATATATATATATATATGGCAAAAACGTTGCGGGTCTTTGTCGACTCACCAGCACTGGGCAGCACTAGATTAAAATGCTATAACTTTGGGAAAACATGATGTATACGATTTTTTTGTACTGTTACAATGACCTTGAACCCAACTTATTTAGGTTCGTTTCGCCCCTGGATCTGCTAAACAGGAAATGAGCCAGGAACCAGGAAAAGCCGATGCGACTTGAACCGCACTAGAAAGTATTTTTAGTGGTGAAGGGACCGATAAAAATAAGAGGATCTGTTTGAACTCACTAAGATCTGGGACTACTGGTCCGATTACAAAAATTCTTCCACTGTTAGAGAGCCTATTTATTGATGAAGGCCATAGGCTACTTTATAAGCACGATATAAATCGTAGTACATGCTATGTGGTATGCATGTAAGTTAGTACCTAAAATAAATGGCCATAAAAGTATTTTACAGATTTCATGATGGATTCAATAACAATTTATTATATTTAAGCGGATTACGCGATTACACATTACTAAATGGTACCATTTTTTACCGTCCAAAATGGTTCATATAGATACAATCACCTTTTTTTAGTTCGTTGTTTAATATTTATTTTTTATTGTTCAGTTTCGTAAATGCAAAATAATTTTTTTAATACTTTTATTATGAGTATTAGGTAGTATCTCTGGTACGCTAAGAATATACTCGGGACCAGAGAATTTCACAAATACGTTGCTTTACTATGTATATTTCATCTGGTAGTTTAATATTTCATCTAGACTTTTTTTAAAGATGAAAAACAAAAGGATATGTACAAGGCCGGATTTAGGAGAGGGCAACCGCGTTACAGCCCCGGGGCCTGCACAAAAGAGGGGCCCCCACAAGAGAGACTTTGGAAAAAAAATCAAACTAAATTGACTAGTAAATATATAAACATATATATATTATTTTTACCTACAGTACTTTGTACAAATATGATTACGTTAAATATTAAGAGAAATCATTGGAAATTTGAATTCAACTCCTTTGTTGCCCCGAGGCCTCCAGACCTCTAAATCCGGCCCTGGATACATAGGTACCATAAGTATTTTTTCTCTTAGGTAGACACGAAAGGAACTTATTTCAAGATCGTACTCATTCCCTTCCTTACGATTGTTCATTTACAATTAAGCACCTTGACGCTTAAGGAATTCAAAAATCTGTCCTTGTTGAAAATATTGAATACAATGCCTCTCTTTACTGAAAAAAAAAAAAACTTTTATAAGACTGCCCAGGCCTAGAATTTAGTATGTTCCTTATTTTTTGTGAATCACAATGATATGAACATGATGATAATATATTATAGCCTTTTTATTCATTTAAACCATTCGAATTTTAAATGTCCCTCCATTTTACAGAGCCAAATTGAATTATTGAGATTCGTGTCTCATGTAAAAATGTATCTGCATCGGCAACATTTTCTTGCAATGATTTTTTAACAATTTCAAATGAGATTTAAACCCGGATGAGTCGTTTGATCGACTACAAATGACATTTATTGATGAACGACTTTAAAAAGCAACAAAATATCATTGGCATAACGAATTCAAACGCGGTCGTCTAACTTGGGGGTATGAACAAAGAAGTGGTGGTCCTTCGAAGGCTGTTACCGAAGAAAGTGTGCTTGCAGTAAAAAAAATTATTCAAGAAAACAGGCGAATTACATACAAAGAGAGTCAGCATACATTTCAGTTTAGTTTAGGAAGGCTTCGCAAGATTATACATGAGCACCTTCGCGCGTAGTTTCTAGCTGGGTGCCGCACAACCTTACCGAAACTCAGAAGCAGGCCCGTGTGGAATGGTGCCGTGACATGATAAGTTAATTTAAACCCGGCAATCTCTGCGCGTTTATGACATTGTGATAGGTAAAGAATCCTGGATTTATCAATACGATCCGGAAACAAAGCGTCAGTTTCACGTAGGTAGGGCCACGTAGCAGCCTCGACTGTTGCACGAATGGGCAGGCTCGTCCGGTTGTCAACGCAACGGACCCTCGGGTGCAGCAAATGTCCATTGGCGGCGGTATTCACTTAACACCAGATGAACCGTCTGCTCGCTTGGTAACTTTTCACATAAAAAAAAGTTGACACTTTGGCTGTTTCAAAATGAACTAACATCTACATAAGTGAAGCGAACGAGGACCACAGGGAAAATTATTATGGCTAGTTTCTTCACTTTGACTGAAACCAAAGCAACATCGATGCCGAATGCTGTATTACAAAATGGTGGCCAGAAGTTTTTACTCTAAAGAGCAACACCGGGCTCCGCGGGCTTCACCATGAGAATGCGCCCGCGCACTCAGTACTCAAAACCAGGGACTTCATGGAAACAACACCGGTCAAAATCTTAGTCACCCTTCTTACAGTCCTTATCTGGCACCGCATGATTCAGACGCCTGAAACTTTGCATAAAGGCTGGTGGAAGCTATGAAAATATTTTATCCATATAAGTTAGTTTTTTCGTTTCTCAAAACGTTGTGTCAAACAAAGTGTCCCATGTTCCACATAAATTATTTACCTATATATTATTTCCTATTTACTAGGAATTCACATCGCGAAGTTTCATCGATTTGAATTTGAATGGTATTAATAAAAATAAAATTCGTATTTCACGTAGTCTGTAATAAATAATTAGTAGGAAAAAGCTTTGTAGGATCCAAAAACAAACATATAAATAAACTTTTAATATAATAATATAATGTTTTACTATATATTCATTTACCATATAACCATACGTTGTCTATACTGCGTTCTCAATCGCTTACAGAAAAAACATATCTTGATGCAAAAATGTGTAAGCAGTAAATGTATTTGTACATTATACTTATTTCATTTTATTAACCATTATTCAACCTAATAGCTTTCGCCGGCTAAGCTTAATGTGTCAAGGCGGTAAGGATAAGGTTAAATTCCTTTGTAATAGTTTGAAACAATAACGCTTGGTAAGGTTTTCATTACGTTTTCGTGATAACGTGACTTGTCCATGCATTAGTGAAATTTACTATGCGATTCGGCGAATGAGGCCATGCGGCATTCTTGATACGGATCGCCTGTATTATGCTGCGCTATTGCTGCAAATATTTGACTGCATTCTTACCCCATCTTTTGTGTTTGATGCATTTTTATGAAGAATAACACACACAGCAATGATTTCATAACATATTTGAAGGTATTCATAACATATTGAAGATTTTATTACCTTGTTTAAAGCGTTCTATTAATTGTTATTATTTATTAATTATATCTAATATACTAAGTAACATGAGCGGAACTTTCATTTTTTTACTGTTGTATATTACGACGTATTCTCTAGTGAAGATCGATTATTTTTATTAGAAATTTTGTTAAGTATCATAATTGTCACAGAATAATCACAATATTTTTGTATATTACACTGCGTAGTTGACGTTATAATTATATAATTATGCTTTGATAGCGATAACTCAATGAAATATAGTGTATCTGTGTCATACCAAAGGCTTGTATTAAATTTACCGTTTTAAGTTTCATTGTTCGTTAGAGTAATGTTCGAAGTAATTTATAATACAAGTACGTTACAATTTTAATGATGGACATTCTAGACGCTAATTAATTCAAGCCCGTTTACTTGTAGGAGGTTTGTACTTTGAGGATGAATCTACTTGGAGCTTCTTATGAACTATCTCTGTAATATGCATTATCTCTAGGCTAGCCATAATCTAAGCTTTGTGCGTAAATCATGTGAAAATATATTGCCCGAGTCCAGGTACGGGGTTCAGATAGTAATCGACTATTTTTGACGACTGAGGGCGGTGTGAACTTCCCGAATAGGAGTTTTGTTTTGTCCTGTGCTGTTTCGTTGGTTTTATAAGAACACGATGTATTCTATGTTAGAGCTACCATTGAACAGGGGTTCGTGTTTATAAGAAGTGCCAAGTCACTTATTTGATTTTATGGAAACATAGTCCTTAAAACGTCGAAAACTATATATTCATGATAACCATTTTGGTTGAAAGCTTTCGTGAGCACTATTTGTTTAAAACATTTAAAATAATTGAAAATAAAATAGTTTTTAGTTCCTTTTTAAATAACTGATAGCACTTTTGTATTATGGATGGTATTTTGTGACGCTTTCCGAAGGGTAAGGATCGGTCATTAGAAGCCACTTTTTAAACACTTACATATTGATTCTTCGACACGAGCAAACATCCATTTCGAGTATATTAATGCTTTTATGAATATAAAGTAGTATGTAAATGGTCAATACAAAGTATTTTTTCAAGAACGTTCTAATAATTTGTGATAAAGGCAGACCGTTTTCTGTTGTATCGATTTGATGTTCCAATTGTACCTATAATGTGTATGTCGTCGTTATGTTTTCGGGTTATATGAGATTTTCAAGTTATAAAATAAGTGAAAATTTATCATGTTTATGAGTTCCACGAGTACTTAAGAAAATGTCTTAGTAATTTCGAGTTTCAAATCCCTTAACTTCCCTGGAGAAATTATGTAATGGCACAAAAATAATATTAATTTAAATAACTTATATCGACGTATATAATATATGTTAGAGGTTTAACTTTATAAACTTGATATTTAAAATTCATTTAGCTTAAAACATACCAAGCCCCTGTTTTTCTAGACTTGTAATTGAGAAATAATAATGTACGGGCTTGTAGCGAACAAATTAGACGAGGCAAAAGGATTATTTTCTTTTAGGTTAAAATGTCTTACATCGAGATCTACAACGAGAACATTCGAGACTTGCTAAATCCTGGTGCAGGGCCCCTTGAGTTGCGTGACGAGGGAGGTAATGGAGCACCGGTGGTGGCAGGACTCAGTGAGGTAACTTTCTACATTCTATTCTCTATTTGTTATGTGCAAGTTCAGAGCTGTTTCCACCACTGTATCACCGGGGACGCTAAAGTAAAAATTATAATTAAAATGAATGATATACTAGTAGTTAACGTTGGTAGGGTCACGCAGCAGCCTCGGCTGTTGCACGAATGGGCAGGCTTGTCCGGGTAACTAGAACGACCTCACAGAAGACCGCCGTAAAGTGGAAATATAACACTTTCGCGTTTAGTTTGATGAGTGAGGTGGCCGGAGCCCAATTTTCAATAGGTTGTCAACGCATCTGCAACATTCGAGTGTAGCAGATGTCTATGGGCGTCGGTATTCACTTAACATCAGGTGAACCGTCTGCTCAACACATTAAAAAAATGGCAACTTTTCACATAAAAAAAACTTCAGGTGTCTTGTATGTGATGCATTTGGCACTAATACAATTTTAGTACGCTTAAACACCCTTTAAACTAAGATAAAAACCTTTTGCTGACGGACATGATGATACATTCTCAATATGACATTTTCGTTTTACAGGTACGTGCGTTGGGCGCAGCGCACGTGGCTGAATTGTTGGCTAGGGGTGACCGAGCACGCACAGCGGAGCCTACGCACGCCAACCACCACTCGTCTAGGGGGCACGCCTTGTTGAGGTGGAAGCGTTTTCTATTTGCTTATATATGACCCGCCTTAATCTTTAAGTATGACGGTGAATAATAATAGAAACATAAAGTTTCTATTTCGCTGTGGTAGGGCCGCGCAATAGTCTTCTCTGTTGAGCGAATGAGTAGGTCCATCCCATGAAGTACCACGATCTCACAGAAGACCGACGTGTAGTGGAAGTGCTTATACTTCTGCATTTCGTCTGGTGAGTGAGGTAACCGGAGCCCCCCTACACCCTACTGGTGTTGCAAATGTCCATGGGTTATCACTTCATATCAGGTGAACCGCCAGCTCGCTTGCCATCTTCTCACACTTTTTACCAACAGTTATTTTAAGAATGCGCCGCGTGGATTTAACTGGACGCTGTAGAAGTTGTAGAAGTTATAACTGCCACCAAGTCCAACCACAAAACCGAGTTATCATTTATAAGAGAGGCTCTGGTCAACTCTGGTAACTAAATCATATGCAAAAGTGTAAACTTGTACTTATTCTTATGTCTTACGTCCTTACTCCCCGACACGACTTGTGAAGTGTGAAGGAGGAAAGATCTTTCTTGTAGCCGCAATAACTTAATAGAATTAACCACGAAGCATATTAAGATTTAAGTCATAACCTTCGGTTGGAATTCAATAAAGATACATTATTGTCCTCCAAAACCGCTTTAGTTTGCGTTATATATGCAAATTTTGCAATAATTTTCGCCGCGATATTTGTTTACAGCGTGTCAGTGAGTGTCAAGGTCGAGGAGGGAGTGCAACGCGGGCGTCTATTTCTGATAGACCTGGCCGGTTCCGAACGAGCGGGGCTGCGCGCGAGAAGGTTAGAGGGCGCGCACATCAACCGCTCGCTACTCGCCTTGGGGAACTGCATTATGGCGCTGTCGGGTGGAGCTAGGTAACATTTTATAACGACAATAGACGACCCGATTGGTGAAACGATCGATCGGGTACGATCTTTCATTACTGGAAAGGTGTTTTTCTTGTCTCTGCGTGTTTATATGTACTTACTGATTGACAAAAGCAAATGTAATTATGTTTTTAAGTTACCTAGAGAACGATATTGGAATTAAATAATGTTGTGTAAAAAAATTATTGGTTAGTACTAGTAGTACAGCCGCTCCTAGTTCGTGCTAAGGCTCAGTTGAAACAAGTACGTTCCGTAGAAGGTCTACTACACTATCCCTATTCTATATCCCTAAGATTGTTTTGTTTATTTATTGGGAAAAAAGCTTAAAGTTTTTAAAAACCAGCCAATTATCCAAACCGTGCGTTTCGCAGATACGTGAACTACCGCGATTCTAAGTTGACACGATTGCTGCGCGAGGTGCTCGGCGGGCGGTGCCGCACTGTGATGGTGGCGCACGTGGCGCCCGGTGCCGCCCACAGGGACACTACGCGTTCGACGCTGCACTACGCGCAACGCGCCGCCGCCATCACCAACAGGGCAAGTGACGCTGTGCCGTTGCCTGTAATAATAACGCACAATTTTTACATTAGCCTTAGCTAATGCGATGGAAACTGGAATACTTCGTTGATGTTGTTAATGACAGAGGTAGGGCCACGCAGCAGTCTTGATGTTGCACGAATGGGCAGGCTCGACCGGGTAAGTACCACGACCTCACAGAAGACCGGCGTAAAGTGGAAGTATAATACTTTCGCATTTCGTCTGGTGAGTGAGGTAGTCGGAGCCCAATTTCCTAAAAGGTTGTCAACGCATCTGCAAACCCTCGGGTGTAGCAGATTTCTATGGGCGGCGGTATTCACTTAACATTAGGTGAACCGTCTGCTCGTATGATAACTTTACATATAAAAAAAATACGTCAAGGGCGCATATCCCTTTGCATGATTGCCCTTGACGCATCGACGTAGTTAAACGTTTTATCGTGGTTGAGACCACGCAGTAGCGTATGCAGTTCTATTAATACGCTCTAAGAATACTTTCGCACATGTTACATTCACAAATACTACTGACAGGCGGCAACGAAAAATGCCACTGCAGCCTCGCGGTTGTTATGGATGTCGATCGCAGTGGTTATCTCTTAACTTCAAACGCCTTAGTTATCCACCTTCTCTCATATGGAAAATACTAAGTACGCTTACGCAAGATCGAGAACACGCGTTTGATCACTGCACCGTTTTGGAATTTTCGTCGATAGCACGTAGTTGTCAAGTCGAGTGCTACCTTAGCTATAGATTCCTACGCACCATAACCTCATGCCGACATTATTAATGTAAGGATGTAGTTGTCAAACTACAACAGCAGCTTCCCTTGTCTTCAGTATCATCGCTAAGATAAATCGCCCCGATCACTATAGCTTTTATTTAAACATAAACGCTTGTTTAGTAGATTTATTTTATTCTGAAAACATCTTAACCTTCTTGTAAGTTATTCTCATTGAAGCGTTTATCTTAATTTTTTTGTTAAATTCTGTCTAATTTTAATTAATTTTTGTCTAATTTCATTAATTCGTTCAACTGTTGCACGTTAGAGAGAACAACCACATTTGTGCTCGATTACTCACTATCAGAGACACTCTTGGTCCTTTCCCAATTTCTCTATAAAAATGTTCGATTTAGTCCCTACACTATCGTCTCAGCCTTCCACTCACATGATATGATTGCGTACCCAAAATGATCACATAAATGAATAACCAATGTACCTTGTAATGTAAAAAAAAAACCAGTTGTACCTTGAAACATACTACTGTATTTTTGGTACTTTGATTATTGTCTTCCTTTACCCTATTTGGCGGCCGACCTAAATATTCTTTTACGTTTTACTATAATAATTTTAACTGTTTTACGGTTTTAGGTCGAGCGTGAAATCATCGAGACTCCAATGCATCTATCGCAGTATCGGACAGTAATCAATGAACTTCGGGAGGAAATCGCTCGTCTCAAGTTCAAGATGAAAGATGATCGCTCTAGGTAGCTTAACCTGTTATCGTGTTATTCATCTTTCTCCTCCCCTTATCCCAATTAGCACAAATAATAGTGATTCATGTTGTAGGTAGATTTAGTAGTTGGAGTTTTTACAACCTGCCGCCTGCTTGACGTCAATCCGTAACAGTTACCTGTGGGTCACACAAAACCTGTCCCGAGTGGGAACCGATACCACGACCCCCGGCGCCGAAGCCAACTATGCCACCAAGTTTAGCAACTGTGCCACCGCATTACGTGTTATCGTGTTAATAATTATTTTAATTGAGTCATATTGCATAAACGTTTTCCTTCACCGACAGGCCTAAAGAGGAACCTAACGAGGGAGAAACTAACAAGGATGAGCCGATGGAGAATGCGGCGCACCTTAAGTCCCTTCGAGAGGCCATAGTGTCCACTTTCAAGCAACAAATGCGTCTGCGTCGGAGGCTCATGGAGTTGGACAGTCACTTACTAGGCCTTGCCCTTGATGCAGAACGACAGCACGCCGCTATTTCGCACTGGGAGGCGAGGTTCAACCGCCTCTACAAGCCTGTCAGCGTAGGAACTAGGCTCAGCACACAGCAGAGTTATAGGTACTTATCATACATTACTTGATCATCATCATCATTTCAGCCTGTTTGAGTCCACTGCTGAACATAGGCCCCCCCACAGACTGCCACGAAGCACGATCCTGTGCCACCTTCATCCATCGATTTCCCGCACACTTGCACAGGTCGTCACTCCATCTAGTGGGGGGTCGTGTAACACTGCGGTGGCCAGTACGAGGCTGCCGCTCGAGAACCTTTCTTCCCTAATTACATTACTTTTATTACTTTATTCGTTTTTTTTTCAATCATTGCCCTTACTTTTGGATAGCATTATCCTGTGTTGTAAGGACGTTTTACAAACATAAATTTCAAAATTCATTAAGCAAAATTCGAAGAGGAACTCCTAATCTTAGTGGTGTGCAGAGTTTTTCTTCTTTGTGTCTCGTTACATAAAAATTACATTCCAGCATTTGGCAGAAAGGCGAAAGTCTTGGCACCAGAAATCTTTCGGACTTTTAATAAAAGCTGTAAAATATTAATGGCGTTAAGATATTCTTTTTAACTCGCTCAATTTACTAAATGGTTAAGAATACATAAAATTTCTTTATTTTATTACATTCATAAGCTTCGTAAATACGATCTATAAAACACATTTTATTAAGAGCATGAAAATATTGTTTTAATGCGTCCTGATGATGCTACTTTTAGAGCAAAATTTGCGACAGTTTTATGTTTACATTTTTAAAGTTTTATTAAGTGCAGAGACTAGCAGTAAAAAAATTAAACACATATTTCGATTGATTGAAGAAGTTGATGGTTCCTATAACGCATTGTGTACATGTCTGGGTTCTTATAACGCGTTGTGTACGCATGTGGGATGTTATAACGCGTTGTGTACATGTGTGGGTTCTTCCAACGTCGTCTTAAGCCATATGTCTGCCGTCTTGGGCACACAAGAATTTAAGGTATTTGAGTGCTTGTTGGAAAGTAAAAAAGGTTGTTGCAGCCGGGGAAGTACAAAATACCTCATGTCAGAAACGTGCATTGGATTCATCTCTAAAATTCCAGTAAAATGTCGCTAACAAGATTCTAATTTAGGGGATAAACGTTTTTCATCGTGTCATATTGTCCCAAAATTTACGATAAATATTTTAAGAAATTGACCGGATTTTCGGGGCCCGCCCTGATGACGCACAAGCCCCATGTGCCATGGTAAAGACGGTGCTGCTTATAACGCGTTGTGTACACCGCGTGCACAATTAGGGGTGGGACGGGTGCGTCAGGGGGTAACGCTGGTGCGGGCGGCGAGCGCGCCGAGGCGGAGGTGGCGGTGGACCAGGCTTGGGCGGAACTCGCCGCCGTCGAGCGCGAGCAGGAGGCCGCGCGCGCAGAGAGGGCGCGCGTTGAACGGCAGCTGGAGCAGGTTCGGCTGCGCGGCGCGCAACTGGAACAGGCAAGGGTTATTTCATAGGTTTGTTTCACCCAGACGCCGGTAAAAGTTCTAGCGGCACTCATACACATATAACGGTTGTCGCCCGATCACCGAAGGGTCGCGGGTCGCGGTCAACAGTTGGCTGGGTGGCCGCCTGGGAACACCGCGTGACGTTGGCTTCTTGCTGGCGCTCTGAAATTGAAAACTTTTAGGTTGAGAAAAATTATTTGGAACAAACTGCAAAACATTTCTTAGCAACGCAATATCCCAAAGTGTCTGTGTGTGTGTGAGGAAGCGTTTGGCCCTGTGGCGCAGGAGCTGCCGGCGCACATCGGCGACGGGCCGGAGCGCGAGGTGCTGGCGCTGGTGTGCCGGGTGCACGAGCTCGAGGCGGACAAGCTCGCGCTGCAGGGCGAGAGGGCGGCGCGCGCGCACGATCTGCGCAGGCGCGACCTGGCGCTGCAGCGGCGCGACGCGCAGCGGCGGCTCACCGACGAGATCATCACGCGCCAGCGCAGGGCGCTAGAGGGCGAGTGCAGTCTTTTGTTTTTTCTTAATTTACTCTTAGTACCTGGAGGATCGAGCTTTGATCGGTTTTTTTCGGTAAATCATTTATTTTGGAAATAAAAAAATAAAAAATAAAGAAAATGATCTGGTATAAAAAAAAATGTGTGAGCGTGATACGAACCGCGGCCGTCTGTTTTGTGGCCGCCCGATTACCGATCGAGCTATTATAACATTTCTTTTTGCGGCGAAATTTACTGTCATATTCGAATGATATTTTTCATTCCCTGAAAACAGGGATAAAAGAACATTTTCTAAAAATGAAAGCTAGTTAGATCGATTTTTCGCCCCCGACTCTACGCATATACTAAATTTCATGAGGAAACCTGCATGTTTTCGAAATAATAACAAAACGTACGTAAGTCCGCCAATCAGCAGTGGGGAGACATTTGCCCCCCAGCAGCAGGACATATATAGGCTGTCACTTTACTTGTTTAGGGTTCTGTACCATAAAAGGTAAAAAAAGGAACCTTATCAGTCTTTTGGCCGTCTGTCTATCCGTGTATCACCACCGATTTTTTCAGGAACGGGTGGACCTAGCAAGTTCAAATTTATACTAGATACTGACATCTATGTTTCCTAATAGGTGTAAATTACAGGTCCTGAGTCAGCACATTAAAAAGATATGGGCAAATTTAGGTTCGCCAAAACTTGTAAGGACGAAAATTTACCTTGATTTTCAACTTATTTTTAATTTTTCGGAATTTTCCCTTTACTTGTACTGTACCTTGCTTTTAACTAAAATTGACAATTCTAAGTGAATCGGAAGTACCCTACAGGTTTTAGGTCGAAGACTTATAAGGTAGTTCCCGTTGATCTCTAAACACGAAATTTGGCAAAAGGCCAGGTCTTAAATCAAAAATAAAGGAAAATTCGAAAAATAAAAAGGTAAATTTTGGTACTAACAAGATTTTCGCGAAAATCATAATTTTTATTGGTACGGAATTTATATATTATTTGATAGGTACGGAACCGTCCGCGTACGTATTCAACTCGCACTTTTTTGCGCGACCGGTTTTTTTATGATTATGTCTAAAAATTACTACCGTATGTTTGTGTCCACAAAACTCCAAAACTAGCCGACGTGACTTGATATTTGTTCGCAACATAGGTAGCTATATGGGAGACTGTAAAATTAGTCTCCTGTTCCATAGCTTTGTTGCCATACTTTCCGTACTTTCAATTCCGAAGTTCGAATGGAAAAGAAAAAAACGAAAGGCAAAGCGAAACGTCCGCGTTCAACTAGTTTTTAATTTATTGTGACCTCAATTTACACAGTTTGTTTGCTGGCTTGATTTTAATTATTATTTATGATTAGTCAATGATTTAATTGGGTTTAAATGTCTAAATGACGATAGGTTATATGAATTATAAATATATTATTTATCAGTTTAAAAATAAATTAACTCTGTTATTTCAGTTTTATGTTTTTACTTCTGTCGGCAATCCCATGACTGCAATTTTTTTTATTTTCCAACTATTCTCCATTACAAATTACATTTTTTAAAAATAACGAAATAAAACTCACCAATGAAAGAAGTCAGACGGTGGCTTGTTATTCTTAGTAATTGTTATTTTTATTATAGAATTGGGTATTGGAATTCAGCCGGAGCTGGCTCAGTTATACGAGCTGTATCAACAAGAGATCCACGCATCTACCTACACAGAGAGCAATGACATTTACACCCCGTCATATCTTCTGCCACCCATTTCTACCAGGTAAGTCAGTTTTACAGACGTTTTTGATTTTTGATGATTTAAAAGTCATGTGCCAAGAAGGGTGTTGAATATAAATGTGGAGGGTCGACTGTGTGAAGAAGAATATATCTATGAAAGAGGTGAAAGAGGTGAGGTCACGTACATAGATGACGACTGATAGAGGAAAGTGGAAGGGAAGAACATTAAACTGACCCCACCTAGTTTGGGACAAGGGCAGAAGAAAGTAGAAAAAACAAGAAGGAACAGATATTAAAATATGTAGAAAATTAAAATATGAACAGAAAATATTGTCTTGGGAATCACCACGTCTTCGGCATCGCGGCCTGACGCTGAATTTTAAAACAAAATCAATGAATTCTTCCACATTCCTCACCAGTATCGGTGAATTTTAAAACAGCAATGAAATTCCTCATCGCTATTCTATAATCATCATGGGATAATTTCTATGTGGAAAAATTTTAGTATAAAATAAGACAAGTCTGCAAATCCGGAGTGGGACTGCTGGAACAGTTCAACTTAGTAGGTACACATTTTCACAATTATTAAGAGTGCAATAAGTTAAGTGACGAAGTCAGTTTGGAATAGGTTATAAATACTAAAACAATGCCTCGCGTGTGTCATCTTCTTCAGTCATGTGTAAGAACATAGTAACAAAATCATATATAATATCAATGTAAGCCAAAAAGGAATTATGTAAAATCTTGCCGTTTATAAAATATTGACCCAATAAACATATACTATCTTCGTGGCTAAGATCAAATTATCTGAAATAATTTGATAAAATAGAACAATGACAGAAAGTGATTCTTTCAGTTCATCTGTGCCTGTTTCAACTATATGGTTGGATAGGATTAAGTTAAAGTTTTTCTGTCATGATTTTTGACGCATTAGGCCATCGAATTTAATCGTAACCTGTAATCGAATCACGTCTGCTAATGACCTGCGCCAATGCGATAGTCTTTGAACAATACCTCTCCGAATATATGAATTCGGACATGTTGGAATAGTAGACGCAACGCATACAAAGCAACACAGCGAGCTGTGACCAGAAAACTAACAGAAGAAAAACATGTAATGGCCGTTGATGTTGTTTGACCTTCTTGAACTCACTAAGGTCAACATTTTAACTGTATTGTAAACGTAGTGTTATTTAATCGAGATTTCGTTTTATTACGCAACCTTTCGTTGAAAGGTGTTTTACTATTTTAAACTTTTGAAAGAAAGGGGTGTAACCCAATCATTGTAGTCAAAATGTCTATCATTTTGATGTAAGAAGATGAATTATTTATATATTGGGCTTTATACGCATAACTTAAAAATGTGAGCAATAGTAAATTAATAATGGAGGCCTCATAATTAGATTGTTTCAGGTTTATTTCATTGCTTTTTATTTATATTCCCGATGTTTTTTGCACTATTTTAAAAATAATTGAATTCGAACTGTTTCATTCGAACACATTTTCTCTATTCCATCAAAATGATCGGTTAAGGCAAACACGTAGAATATGTTTATAGAGGTAACATAAACTAAGCTGATTTAACTATGTTGTACAGTAATTAAATGTAGGCATTATTGGCGTATTCGCTAAAAATCACCAAAAAAGAAAGAACCACCAAATAGAAGAGAGATTTGTTAGTTAGAGATGATCGTTTCTTTAGCAGCATGTCGGAGCTGGGCTGGTCTGGCAGTTCCAGTGGATCGACGCGAGGCTCCAGCTCTGGTTCTGGGGGTACTGTGCCCATGGACGCGCGCCTTCCTCGTCTGGCACCCACGCCACGTCCGCGAACGAAGTACAGGTATGAGGTGTCAGGTGATCATCGGTTTAAATTCTACACAGTACAAGACCATAGAATGTTCCGGATCTGGGTGTTTGTTCTCAAGGAGGGTTGACATCAGGCCGGCCGTAAAAAATCTAGCCTGAAACTGCGCCTAGATGGGATAAGGGCAGGAAAAAATATACGCCCGTTGACGGATACATGCAGACAAAGAGGCTTACACAGTCTGTTGCAAAATCAGTGATGCGGATACTATAGAAAAAATTCAGGTTCTTAAATGGTTTTACAAGATGCATTGAAAACACATAATCTATAACCGCGGTTAATCTATAATAGGTGTAAGGCGTTTCAGTTTTTCTTCGACGGCCATCGTTTTTAAGAGGTCTAGGGCGCCCTTGTGTTTTTGTGTAGTGATCCGATGCGGCCTCTGATTAATCTCAATTTTATTTCTTACCTACGCCGTTTTAGAACGGAACAATCATGGGGAAATTGTATAAAGTCAAATCACCAGAACGTACAATATGTCAATAAGTCATAAAAGCATTACTTGTCACAATACCATTAAAAGTTAGTAAATTTATTTTAATATAACTTATGTGTATATGTTAATGCCGCTTCCGAATTCTTTTGCAAGAAATGTGTTAATTTTATTTCTATTTGACATACATGAATAAGTAATAAATGGCGATACACATCGACATTTATTTATTATGGTACATTTAGGATAAGCATTATTAATGATATGTGGGTGCACTCCACAGATGCAAAAAAAACTTTGCACACCCTGTCGTCCCACACAAACACGGCCAAAACACTGAAACCTACGACTTCAGTTATAATTTTTTTTTGAGTTAAAAAAAAACAAACATAACTTTTTGGTTACACAACTGGTGTGGTAGAGCCACGCAAGTCGCTCGAATGGGCAGGTCCGTCCGGGTTAGTACTATAGTAGTTTTATGCTTCTACGTATCGTCTGCTGAGTGAGCCCACTTTATTAAAAGGTGGCAACGCATCAGCAATCCTAAAGGTGTTGCAAATGTCCATGGGCGACGTTTACATCATCAGGCGAACCGCCCAATCGCTGTAAAAAAATATATCGCTATAATACTGTCACAGACTCTTAACCAAAACAAAGTTGTGATGAAGATAAGACGATTGACAAACAAATGAACGACTTATTATTACACCGTTTCGCAGCCATCCAAGCGCATCGACTTTGAAGCGTTATGCCAGCGATGATAGCTTAGTCATCGCCGCACCACGTCGAAATGATCCGGCATCTTGAAGGAAAGTTCTCGCAAATTGGGATCGTGTGGTTACTGTTTTCAAACGAATGAAGCACTCCAATACTGTAATGCAACCTCAAGGGAAGAGGCCATGTGATTCTCCTGAGGTTCATCAGGTGGTGTTCTGAATTTTTGTCGAGATTCCTATCCGCAGGACGCCCTCAGTGCTCTGCAGTGCCTTTTTATAAACTTGATTAGTATGACAAAAATTCATATAAATATATATGTAGATATATTTATAAATATATATTTATCATTTTAATTTATGTTTCTTATAAGTTTAAAAAACATGATGTTTAAAAAGTACATGGATATCCATTACTTTTTAAGTTATACAGCGTGTCGTTACAACCGCGACAAAAAAACACACATATAGAGAATAACTTTTTAAAATTGTATTAAGCATTTCAATTGTATTAAATTTCCCAAATCTTAAGTACTTATACTTTAAGTTCATTTGTAAACGTCACAAAGCATATGAATAGGTTGAATGAATTTAAAGAAATAAAACATAATGTAAGTAAGGAGAGACTTGTAATGTGAAGTTATGGCAACGAATGAAAAAGTCTCTGAATGTATGAATCAGTCAGTTGTAGTTGTATAGGATGTTACAAATTTTGTTTCTTTTTTATTTAATTAGCTTGTTTGAAAAATATATTTTTTTAATTATGGATTTTTTAAGGTTTTATATTTTTTTATGATTATTGGCCAGTAGCGTTAAACGTGTGTTCATTTATTGTCGCGGTTGTAACGGCACGCTGTATATATCCATTGTTGTAACTTCCGTTGTAATATGTAGTTTAAATGAAAAGTTTACTCTAGAAAAATTATACTAATTAATAAGTGTTTATGTTAAAATCTAAATTATCTTTACTAATCTATTTAATTTAATTGATTTTTGACCATGTGCTTGCTTGATTTTTTGGTATTTAACTACCTGAATAATTGTAACTGCAAAATAGTGAACACATTTTCCAAATATTAATGTAATTGCATTTGTTTTTGTGGATTAATAGTATACTTTCTTTGGTCAAGTCAAATTTTTAACACTGTTTAAAATGTCTAAGACATATTTTTTAGAAATAAGTGATTTTGGAGTTTGTTATCAATCCTTTAATTATGGTCCACAGAGAAAATTTAGGTATTAATTATGTATGAATACAAATATACAATCAATATCATACGTGGATCACACTGAAAGTTCTTAGAAAATAAAATAACGGCTCAATGTAGGAAGTTTTATTGCTGTTAAAAGTAGTCACCGTTCCTCTCTATATATCTTCGCATTCGATGGCACCGAGAAAAGCAATGGGCCCATTCTGCCTTAGGTGTCTCTTCCAAGGCATTATCGAACGCACTCCTTGCATCTTCAAAGCGCGTAAGCGAATACCTCGAAGTTTATCTTTGATTCTAGGGAATAAATGAGAGTCGCAAGGCGCCAAGTCGGGCCATAGTCAAATATTAAATTTATTGTTTAGCGGAGTGCCTGTGTCGTGGTGAAGGAGACCTTTCGAACATTTTCCAAAACAATAGGCAAACAACAGTTTACATATCAGTCTGCAGTAATTGTCCTTTCATCTTCCATAACTGTCTCGAAATGACTTTTCCGATCAAAGAACGAGGCTATCAACTTTTTTCTTTGACTTCTCCCTCTCTTTAGTTTAGTCGGTCGATCCTCAAAAGGAAACTCCCACTGAGCAGATTGTCTTTGGGGTTTCGGGTTTGTGGCAATCCAGCTTTCATCACCTGTGACGATGTCAACTACAGCATTAGAGTCACCTCTGTTGGACTTTTCGGTCAAAGTATGGAGAATCTATTTGGTACAAAGCTTCCTGACACCTAAATGCTCGTGTATTTTTATTGTACTTAACCAATGCCTAAGCTTGCCCGAATTTTCTGGAACGTCACTCTCTTATCTTTCTCGCGTTAAACTCTTCATTTTGAAGTGTAACAAGACTTTTGGAATGGCCGCCAATTCACAAATACAAATGACAAATAAATAGGTACAAAATATCACATTATACCAAAGAGTTCTATATTAAAAATAAAATAAGGTAGGTATCATTGCCAATATTTCTAATATGGCCAGTTCTAAAAACTTTCAGTGTCACCTTAGCATTATTTCAAAATTTAATCAACGTTTAATAATGATCTGCAGTAATTCTTTTTTTTTGTATGTGAAATAAATAACAACAGAAATTTCGTGTTTCTTTTATCACGTCCGATATTCATAAACATGTTGTCAAATATTTCAACTGACTAACAAACCCTCAGAGGGAGTCGCTGGCTATAGAAATTTTTATTGTATATATTTTTGTATATGTAGGTACATAATACGTAAATCAATTTGTTTGTTTTAAATTTAATTCATTATTATTTAATTAATTAATTATTCAATCAATTATTACATCGTGACTCAAACGGTCTAGTGCCTTCTATATTTCATAGAATAATCCCCTCGTTCTTTCATAAGAATATGGACATAATTTTTAGTTGATATATCAGACTAGAGAAACAGAATTGTAAGTTAATAATATACATAAAACAAAAAGTGAAGTTATATAGATAATTAAAAACGTTTTTTTATTTAATAAAAAATATATAGGTTATACAAAAAAGTTTGCGTAAAAATGTAAGTAAAAAGAGGGGAAAACATTGCAGGCATAAATGAAATGAATCACTTTCTTTTCATATGTTATAATAGCACAATATATCATCACATATTCATATTGCATTCAATATATGCAATAACTTATTTGCATATAAAATATAACTGTAAAAAAATTGTTTTAGTTTTTCGCCATACATAATAGAAAAGACGGGCTTCAACTACTAGTAGCTTTCGTATTATTTGACGTATATATTACATTTCCATGTAAAAAGGTATCTAGTATAATTGTTATAATAACTCTTTTAATTAACACTGAGCTAGCCCTAAGCCCAGCAAGTGTTCTTTTCTACTATAATACAAAGAAAGCTTTTAATAAACATAATACAATATTGTTATAAATATGAATAATTCATGTTATTCAATAATAATCTCACTGAATAAAAAAGCTAGGGTATAAGATATTAAAAACAACTAAACGGCCAGCCATTGGGTGACAAGAAAATTGATAAAAAATGCAACTCTAATCATTCATTATAGCATTGCTTGGTTCTCTACGCACTTGACAGACTTTTTTGGAATGTCGTAATCAATTGGTAAAAACACAATAAAAAAAATCCAAGTGCGAGTCGGACTCGCGCAAGAAAGGTTCCGTACCATTATATATATATAAAAACGGCAAAAAAATTTAGATAAACCTAAACTTAGTAATAGGGTCTCGTTTTAACCTTTGTGTACGGAATCCTTAAAATCTTCATATACCTATATATATAGCGTCTGCACTTAATGTGTGTTGCGATGCTGTTTAGCCATTCAAAATCTCTTTAAATATTTATTACCTATAAAAACGAAGATCTTCATGAAAGACTAACTTAGATAAGAAATATTTCTATTTCGAGAACTCTAGACCGCAAGACTGAAGATTCAATTTCGCTACTAGTCTACTTAATAATAACATTTTAAAACCTGACTTAATTTAAAAATGCTAATTACACGTATGCAAATACATTTTTCATGATAACTTAAAATAAATAATAAACTTAATTATGATATGTTCTAGTTTCGAATAAACTAAGTACATTTAATTGACTTTAACTTCTTGATAATAAAGCCTTTATGTGTAGACGATTAGAGATATTTCTTGATCTCTATATGATTGTGCATTAAAATCATTTTAAATTCATGAAAATCACTTTACACGTGGAATACTGTTTTTATTTGGGTTCTCACTTTGCTGTTTTATTTCCTAAGGGAACAGGAACTATATGCAAATAAATACTTTACGAAAATTAGAACAGTATTAAAGAAACACTCGGGCAAATACGACGACTACTTCTTTAAAATTCACCCATTACATTAGCCTTTTTCGACCAAAATCAGGAACTAAAAGTCCCTTAAACAAGTTCAAAATTAAACACGTAAATATATGATCACAGGCAGTAGACGAAGGTCCAGTAGATGATGTTGAAGAAAATGAAGAGACATGGGAAAAGCACGCGGGAGCGTTTGTCGATCCATGTGGCGATTTCCTGCGGCGTCATTGTGGTCCAAGTGTGGTGCTTAGGCGGTTCATCGGACCCCTCGCTGCCTGCTGACCGCTGACCACCCTGCCCCGCTATCAGTTCATCATAGCTCTGTGTGGTGATGGTAGGCAGGTTCAACGCGGATGGGAAGCTCTGGAATGTTCAGCAAAACATTAGCCTTGGTGGCGGCAGGCAACATCTGATGTTGCTCGAATGGGCAGGCTCGTTCAGTGACCCAATTTATTGGTTGGCAACGCATCTGCAACCCGAGAGGTGTTGTAGATATCCATGAACGGCGGTAATCGGTTAACAGTTTAAACACCTGCTTGGTCGCTAAAATTTTCATATAAAAAATCTAGTAAAAGAGATGTCCTTTAGTACCATGCCTGATTAATTTAATAATTTGCATAGTCCTTTTCTTTAAATATGTCTTCAAATTTAAAGACAAAACTAATCTAACGCTGTACAATATCATCCATTATAGTATTTTAAGTAATGCGATTCACTAACTTGTTTTGTATAATCGAAGTAGAAAGTAAGTTTTGTCATTGAACACCAAGCATAAAGTTCAAGTGATAATGACAAAATGAAAAATATGAGGAACAAATGAAAAATGGAAGAAAGCGACTTCATCGCTATATTTTGATCCCTAGTCCTTTAGTTACACCAAGAAAATTAAATATACCACTCTCTCGTAGATAATGTCTACTATATTTTAGAACATCTCTCAATTTTAGTCTTTGCCTTGCTACGTAAAACGATTTTTAGATAAAGCTATAAAATGATGTATTATGAATAAACTCATCAATCATCAAAATTATAGTGACATAATTACTGTCGTGATATATGATAGTAATTATGACGACGTAGCCACTACGGCAAATATTAAGGAACAAAGACTTGCCGGCGTTATAAAAATTGTTATTGTAGATACCTGTCATATTCCAACAACAGCTGCGTGGAATGAAAAAGGACGAAATTAACTTTCATAAAATAGTTCAAATTTCAAAATAAATCAATTTAATAACTAATACAGAAAAGCTAAAAGTTTGTCTGTGTTAGTTATTAAATACTATAAATATCACATTAGACTTGATGATCTATTATGAATTGTTCGAATAACGTATTGTCATGGTACGTGTACATCTCAAACAGTTTATCAATAATTTATAAATGGTAAAAACTGACATGTACAGTGAGATAGTTATTGTAGCCAGGGCCAGCTGGATCGCTGCTAGTCTCCTGCTGCAGTGAAGAGCATGAACGGGACTTGGTGAGATGGGGCGATGATTCCTGCAATTCTTTCTGCAACTCTTTCCTCGCAAGTCGTGGCGTTAATGTGCTCTTCAATATATATTTGCTGTTAACCTTCTTAAGACTTACGACTTTCCTGCAAATAAAAAATAATATATAAGAACTTTGACAAGCTAATCATATTAAATGAAAAACTGATCATCGTAGATGTCAACTAATTTGTTGTCAAATAGCTTTTCAAATGTTATTTGAGTTGCCAAAAGGATGTTTAAACTCTTTGAATTGAACATTCTGATCATTAATAAGATCATTCTGGTCAATTCATAGAGTTCAACCATCCCTTTTTAAATGACATTTGAAAAGCCATTTGACAGCTGATTAGTTGACATCTACGATGATCAGTGTTTCAGAAACCGGGCGTAAGTCTTACAGTTTTTAACTCTAAAAATGTATAGCTGTATTTATGTACATTTTATATAATTATGTAATTAAACAAACGTTTAACTACTGCGTTATGTCTTTACTTACTTTCTTCGCCAAATAGTATTCACAAAGGCAAACTCTACAAGCGCCGAGAAGATAAATCCAGTGCAACCAAGGAACCAGACCTCACTGGCTTTTATGTATGAGACCTTTGGAAGTGTCTTCGCTTGAGATGAAGCGAGTGTAATAAACGATAACATTGTACTGGTTCCTGAAAAAGTTTACAAAAACCATTGCAAATGTAACTTCTTAACTAATACTTCACTTAGCATTTTTAGCTGTTGTAGTTTTTATTAGTAGTAAATACCCAAAGTAATTCTAGGCGCTGAAGCATCGGCCTGCAACCAAAAGGTGACCCATGACATAGCGACGATCATCATCGAGGGTATGAAGTAATCCATCAGGTAATAGCCGACCTCACGGCCCAATTTGAAGGTGAATTTAAGGGCGCTGTAATTCCCGGCTGAAACGTGACAATAGTTTGATTAAGGGACACGCGTCCAACCGCTTTTAAAACGGACGTCACCAACACACGAAGGGACATTACATCTACCTCCTCCCAAACGCATGTTCACAATGTCGCCCCGGACGACTGACTCGTTGGTCCAGTAGTCCAATAAAGAGTATTCCGTCAAGTGCAGTTCCGACGACAGTCGAACCGGATTATCTTTCTCCCACATCAAGCGCAATATCGATGCGTTATACTTCCCTGAAATATGGAAACGAATTCGGCTACAGTTCAAGTCAGGTCGGTTTAAATAGAACATCAAAAATTGCAATGTGCCTGATTGTGTTTTATACTATCCGTACTGTATATGTCTATGACTACAACTTTTATTTTCCGATTTTCAGTAACTCATTCTATAACTACAAATGAAGGTCAAAAAGTTCTGCGTTTTAAACTTCAAGACACTTTTCCCATCTTTAGTTAATTGCCACTGTAAACGAATGTTTTTCGTCGCCGAGTGTTCGTCCTTAAAACGTATTCCTATACTTTTAAAAAGGGAAAAGCCACTGCCATTTAAGAATTAAAATTATAGATGGCGATTAACGTAATCGAAGATTCTTGTTTCAGTCATAATGCACATTTTCGAATCGTTATCGGCAACGACGGTAAGAGTACAAATGTATTCGAAATCGTCCTCTAAAAATTATGGTAAAGTTTCAACGACACAAAATTGTATAGCGGGGTGGCGCATATTGTTATTCAAAGCGCTCTTTTTTTATTCACGTACAAATATTTATGTAAAAATCTTCAATACTTTCCTTGCTGATGCCCAACTCTTTTGGTATCTGTCATTTATCATTCAACGCTCCTCCGATGAGATTTTTTTACTTTGGTATAGTTGTATTTCCCGTTATACGAAGAAGAGAAGAGACACGGTACGGTACTTAAATTTCGTCAATAGTAGCAGTTAGAGTTTACAGTTCAACATACAGCTTGGACTATATTAGATATATAGTACCTTTACTATAAATATTATGATGTCATTTGTGTAACAGAGGAGCGATAAGAGTACTCTAATTTCGTAGGCACGATAAAAGTAACATCCTTAATGTTTACAACAAATTTTTCAAGTACATTTTTCGTATATCATGGTATTCACATATTAGGTAAAACTTTTACTTGTCCTGAAATACCTAATAAGATAAAAATAAATAACACAGAAACACAAGAAAGACAATGTTAAATACTCACAGCTCTCTAAGTTCATCGAGCAAGTCTGATCGTCAAATGGGAACTTTTGAAGGTTCATCCAACAATACAGCACGGCTTGCATTCGCCGACTGAACAACACCTCCCCGTCGGGGGCGATGGAGATCAGGACGTCTTTGCTGTCTGTGCCCATCAAGCTTGAGGACTGCTCGTTGGACATGTACAGGTGGGGCACCCATATTCGTTGGCGCAGGTCGCTCTCGCCGATTATCTTCGTCCGTTCAGGCGAATACAGGGCGTACGCCAAGCGTGCATCAGTCCAGCGCAGTTGCAGAAGGAAGTGCAATTTGAAGTTCTGTTAGTAGATAAAAGTGAATACTAATGTAAATAATAAAATACATTTATTCAATTAAGGCTTGCTTCGGTCAACGTGTTTAGACTTGTTCAGAAAACCAGCAATAACTTTTTTTTAAATCAAAACATGCAAATATATATATAAATAAATCAAGACGACCAGGATGCGGTCCTCGATGTTCTATTCAACAACTTAGATTGACCTTTAACACAATAATTATATAATTGCATATGACTTATTGAAAAAAGTTCTCGAGTGACAACCTCCTACCATCGCGGTGTGGGACGACCCTTCACTAGAATGAGTGATGACCTGTGCAAGTGTGCTGGAAGTCGATGGATGCAGGTGGCTCAGGATCGTGCTTCGTGGCAGTCTGTGGGGGAGGCCTATGTTCAGCAGTGGACTCAAACAGGCTGAAATGATGATGAAAATAACAGATCGACGGGCGTCTAGCGCCTGAGTCCGTCCCATGACCATGAACGCTGAAAAGTGTAATCGCATAAATACAATAAATTATAACAGTATGGACAATTTATAATTAATTTTATTATTAGTGCTGGTCTTTTTACTTAAGATGAAACTTAAAATGTGTAGATAAAGTTAAAGTTAAGCTAAACTTCTAAAGTTGAGGTTATCGACCGCTTAGCTTAATGTTACCCAGAAGGTTTGAATCCTTACAGCGGTGAAAAAAATTAAGAGAAAACCAAACACTTTTACGTTAGAAAAACAGTTATTTGAACAACTATATTTGATGTCGAAAGACAAAAGTTCTATTTTATTTCAGGGCAACCGAAGAATAAAAATATTGTAAAATAAAAGTACGTCGCAGTTACTGCGTTGTGCGATACAAATAAATACAAAATACATCATGTTTCCACTTTAAGTGGGTTGGCAAACGTTGATCTTGTTCATCTCGAACACTTTTTTTCTGGATAACCCACCAAATCGTGTGCTTCGGCAGGCTGTATGAAGTAGACGTAGGCACTGGCGTGGACGTACACCACGTCACCGGTCTGGTAAGTAGGTAGGAGTAGTCGGTCGTAGCGGCACTCGTGAGCCAACCGCGACAGGAACTCCGACTGCGTGTAGCTGTCGCCTTTGTCGAGAGATGGACACTCTAGCGCAGTGTTCTGCCTGAGAAACGCATATTTATAAGCATCAAATGACTTTTGCCTATCAGATTGCAATGTTTTTATTACATATGACTTAATTAGAGAATGAAAAAATCTTAGTCAGACAATCAAAAACTCCATCGACAAACTCATCGTAGACTTACAGTGGTCGCCCAGTGATTGAAACTAGAAAGTGTATTTCTTTTATCTCGAAAGGCATTTAATCTGATCTTTTAAAATTACAGTATATTTAAATTAAAAGATAACTTTACATATAAACAATAAAACGGTTTTATTTACAGTCATTGATGACAGTCATGTTCTAAATTAACTAATTTGCTTTCATTGAATTAAATTTATGAAAATATTTGATCTAAATGAAATTCATGCAAATATTTTTACTTTGTTAGAGAATACAGTGATACAGGATACATCATCAGTTATAAATTAAGATAAATTTGGTTCAACATTTATTTATTTTAAACTGATTCTAATAACAAGATTTAATATCTTCTTTTCTTAAAATCTAAATGTCGACGACTATGTTTGCTTCGTAATTATCGTTTCGGCTATGTTTCTTCATCAATTAAAAATATACGAAAAACGAGCGTGCCGCTAATAGCAGGGCAACGTCATATGATTTTATATTTTTTTACGTTCGAAGTTTATTATCACTGGTATTAGAAATGGCTGTAATACGAAAACTGTAAACGATAGAGACATATAATTATGGATAACTGATAGTGGTAAACTTAACATTTTTCAATGTATTCGACTTTTCGCTCTACTACTGTCCCTGATTGCGTGAGGCATTTCATGAAATTATATCAAGAAAATATTACTACCACAGATTGTTTCAGAACTATACACATCAACAATAGCGTAGTGTCCATTTGACTTCTCTTACCGGAACTTTGATTTTAAACGTCGGATAAGTTTATTAAATTTTTAATAAACCCGCTTCGCTACCCTTTTCAATCGATCATGATACAATAGTAGGTTCACATGAGGAGAGTTGGAGAGCCTTCATTATCGAGCTGTGGCATTAAACTCGCATGTCCGATGAGCTGCATCGCAAGCCAGTTTGAATCAACCAATTTAAAGGCCGACTAGGCAAACATCGCATTACACAACTAACCAATTAACTGCAATAAATTTATGTTCAGAATTCATACTCGTATCCGGTATTATTTACATTTGCTCCTTAATTATTACATAGACATTGAATATCAATGTAAATTGCTTTATAACGCGTTAAATAAAGTTTTATATGTTTGAGAACGATACAAGGTCCATATAAAAGTTAAGGTTATGAAGACTTAGTGATGAAACCAAGTCACGAATTGGCACTGAGGACGCACTTAACCTGTAACTTAACCTGGCTTTGAAACCACTAGTAATTTATTACGAATCTAGTTCGAATACTTTATGAAACTTACGCAAAATCGCACCAACTTACAAACTAGGATCAGTTGGAACCACACCTAATGGTGACGCGTAATCATTTAATTCTTTTCTTACATGTTCGCAAACATCTACATAACTTTTTATCGAGCATCGATAGCATAAGTGAATAAAATGGCTTTATTATTAATAATGTCATAAATGGTAAAATTAGACAAGCAGTAACAGTCAAGAGTCATGTAATTCATACATATTACTGTGGTACAAACCAATCGTTTAGTCGCATTACGTTCAAGAGGTACGATTTGGAAGCGACATTAAACGCCGCTTGACTCAAAACAATGCGCCTGCAATAACACCTGTTACACTATATTATGAGACAATGTTACGATCCTTTTACTCAATAATATATGCGAATGCGCAATAAGGGTATCGTATATAAATACATTAAGCTGGTCACGCACTGGAAACTGCAGTTGTTATACATCGCTTTAAGCTCTTTTCTAAACAATGCTCTCTTTTGTTTGCGCGAGGACGTTGTTTTAGGTTAATATAGATTCATCGGAGAACAAGGCCACAAGAGCATACGGCAATGGTGCAAATATTTGTACGCTGATAATATTATGAACCAATTCGCAGTGATAGCAACAGATTTACTCTTAGATTAACTGGCTAAGCCGCCTGTTACGTACGGCTTAAATATATTTAAAGACATTCTACAAACGAAGTAGTCGTATGTGTGTATACAATTCCATTTGGCGCAAACGTAATAATTAATATCCGATTATGTTAGGATTCTTCATAGAAATGCTTATTTGAAACTCCTTTTTTCATAACTATGACATTGAAAATGGTTTGACGATAACATATTATATAATTCGCATTCGTAAAGTATAGCCCACGCGGCAAATGCCGAGATCACGCCTAATAAGTTTTTTTAGCACACTAATACCTTGCGTCATCGTTACCTCAAAGTATTCATTAGCAATTTTGGAATATATTTTTTGCTCTTTTGAAAATATGTTTAATAGGAATAAGTTGCTTTTTTTTAATTCAAAATGATTCATTTATGTGAATTCATGCTATGCGATCTTTAAGGAATCTTTTACACTGATTTACTTAGACGCGCTCTCTTCACCCACGCCTTCTCCAAATGAGCGAGCTTCACACAAAATGTTCGAGAAATTCATTCAAAACCAAAACGCACAAATATATTATTTCTGATGAAAGCAACACGATATATTATGTATTTAATTATGAATTTTTGTCTCGTTCGGGCCCTTCTGTGCAAGCGCCACGCAGCAGATTCTGCTTTGGCACGAAGGGAAGGCCCGTCCGGGGAAATGCCACGGCCTAACAGAAGACGTGAAGTGGATGTAAACTACTTTCGCGATTGGTGTGGCGCGTTTCTGCAACACGATTTTGTAAATATCTATCTATGGGCGGGGGGGTAATTACTCACTATCAGGTGAACTCGATTTAATTTTTCATATAAAAAAAACTAGAAATATCACCTTCACGTGTCGCATATCCAACAATACTTCACACGAACTATAATTATTTAAAATAGGTACATAAATAAAACGCGGTCTCAGTCCGCATCTTATCATTGCCGTGACAAAAATCTTAAAATAGTTATATCATGAACGTAATTATATTGTTAACAAAACATATAAATACTATAAGTAACTGGCTTAATTTGTTAATTCATTAGCGGTGACTGCACTTATGAAACGTCCGAAAACGATAAGAATAAAGGAACTACAAACTTAATTATTACATTTACTTATTACAGGTGATGGGAGTATCAACAAAGTTTGATACTGATTTACGACTCTAACTCTAAACAACGATAACCATCCAATTTCATCATCATGAAATGTGGTGATGGGGTCTATATGTTCAAAAATCTTCGTCATTCATGTCACTTCCTGTAAAAATTTCTGAGGACCTCATTTTCTAGCAATATACCTGAAGTAATAAATTCTTAAAAGGATGGAATGTAAAAAGAAAATAAGTTCATTTTTGTGTGCCCTGATAGTACTAATGCATTCCTATATTGAATTTTTTTATGTGAAAAGTTGCCAAACGAGCAGACGGTTTACCTGATGTTAAGTGAATACCGCCGCCCATGGACATCTGCCACACCTGAGGTTTACACACAGATGCGTTGACAACCTTTTGAAAAATTGGGCTCCAGCCACCTCACTCACCAGACAAAACGCGAAAGTATTATAGTTCCACTTTACGCCGGTCTTCTGTGAGGTCGTGGTACTTACCCGGACGAGCCTGCCCATTCTTGCAACAGTCGAGGCTGTTGCGTGGCCCTACCACCGTATTTTGTCGACAGCTTGATGCTGTAAGATAACGCCCAGAGGTAATCATTCTAATCATTAAGAAGATAATTCTTATCAATTAAGAGAGTTTAACATTCCTTTTGGCAGCTCAAATAACATTTGAAAAGTTATTTGACACCTGATTAGTTGACTTCTACGATGATCAGTGTTTCAGAAACCGGGCGTGAGTGTAGCGTTTTCACACGGCTATGAATATTATAAAAAACAGATAGGTACTTATTAAGGAGCATGGAGCATTAAATCTATTGTTGACTGTGTATTGCCCGTGATTAATAAAAATTTATAAACCCTATGATAAACTCTAAAAAAAGTACCAGGTTTGAAGATAAAAGAAATTCATTTTCTTCATAGTTTTTCTTAGTTTTATTTTTATTCGTATAGATAAAATGTATCTTAATATGCATACCTTACATGAAATGAAATCTGTACTGGTCTTAAAAAGGTCACGCCAAATTTGAATTTACATACATAAATAAATTTCTCATGTCTTGCACATGCATTTAAAATTTATAATGCTGCACTAAACAGGCAAATGGTATTTTTGTTTAATATTTCATTGTTCTTTGTCATGAATTCTATTACTTATTAGCATTTGTCTACATACCGTTTTATTAAGCGCCTTTTTATACCTTTTTATTAGGGTAAAACGGGACCATATTACTAAGACTCTGCTGTCTGTCTGTCTGTCCGTCTATCACCAGCACATTTCTGCTGTATCTCATAAACCCTGATAGTAAGACAGTTGAAAATTTCACAGATGATGTATTTATGTTGCCACTATAACAAAAAATATTAAAAAACAGAATTAAAAAAATAATGCTCCCATACAACATAAATGACTCTTTTGGCCGTTATTTAGATAATGGTACGGAACTCTTTATGCCAGAGTCTGACTCGCACTTGGCCGGTTTTATTCATATTTAATACAAACTGGGAAATCTTTGCGGCGTGCACTATTCAATTCACTAAAGTATCATCCTAATTGTTTGAATGTGAAGGCGAGATAAACAAAGTATATATTTTATTTGCATAACATAAAGTCGGAATGCGTAAAACCATTTGAATATTTAATATTATAAGCTCAAGCTAAGTCATTGTCGCAACCAAGACGAATATAATGACACCTCATAAATAAAAATCCATCAAACCGTTTAGACTACATCGCGTGTCAAAAAAATTGACATACACTTATCTCCTAAAAAGATTACCATCTTCTAGGACCGTCAAATAATGAAGATATATTCATGTTAAGTGGATTTTA